CTTTATAGCCCAGGAAGAAAATTGTTCTCTCCCTTAACCCAGGCACTGAATGCAAGAGGTACAGAGGTTCTCTGTGAGGCAGAGCAAGCAAGGGGCCAGCGGGGAACAGGAGGGCCTGGGAAGGAAACTGACAGACCTTGTGTGGCCCCTGGGGACCCCTGGGCAAGGGAGCTCATGCCTCCAGGCCTGAGTTTCCTCACTGGTAAACAGGTCACATAATGACAACCCCAGGACTATTGTGAGACTCAAAGAAGAGAACGTAAGTCCTTTCATTGTTCTAAGTCTCAGTTTCCTCATCTGTAAAATGGAGTCAATATCTCTCCCCTGTAGATCTGTTAAAAGATTAAGACAATGAAAGTAAAAGGTAAACATACATAGTAAGTGTGTTACATACGGTGGCCATTACTATTGCTAAATGACTCCTAGGCCTCAACTTCCTTATCTGCAAAATGGGGCAATCAATTCAGTCTGAAAGATTATATTGAAGAACAGTAGCTGAGCCACCAGCTGCAACACTGTGTGTTCACTTTGTGTCTCAGACATGGTGGACCCGAGTTCATGTGGGGAGCACAAAGCCCTCCAACTCAGGGGCCAGCAGAGCTGGGACAGCTGACATGCTGTCCACGCAACAGTTTAGGGTGGACACTGGGGCCCAGAGAAAGGCAAGCATTAGCCCAAGTCACCCAGCACTTTGTCAGTGGCAAAGCCAGGATCCAGGCCCAGGCTTTCAGCTGCCCACCCTTGCCCACAACACCCACTGCTTTTCTCTGCTGTATTCTTAAATTGCTGATGTGGTCCCAGGCAGGGCAGAAGAGAGCAGGCAGGCAGAGGAGGGAGAGAGAGGGAGGGGACGCTGGCCAGCAGCAGGAACTGAGCCTGCCTGTGGTCTCCAACTTCACAAACCACATCAAGATGAAATATGACACAGGCTCACTCAGTTGAAAGCGAGGAGATATTTTTACTTAACATCCCCCTGCTGCTTAAACACTGGTCTCTTTTTTTCCCGTCCTCCCAAGAAAGCATAACCCCTGGGACGTGCCTTTCTCTGCTTCTGCTGGCATTTTCTCAGGGAATAACCAAGGAGCAGGAGGGTGCCCACTTTTCCTGGCTTCACCAGATAGATTTCCAGAGCATGGGCTTGACTGATGAAAAGCAGGGACCGGGCCTGGCTGGGCTCTCACATCACCACATGACCTTGCTGGGCAAGTCCTGTGTCCTCTTGGAGCCTTGATTCCCTGAAATGGAGGGGAGACTGACCTACACTTGAGGGTCCTGTGGGTGGTACAGGGGAGTATGAGTTTACACACAACCCTGGGAGGCCCCTCCAGGCCTCCCTGCTGCAGGGCTGAGCTCTCCAAGCTATACAAAGCAACTCCCGCCCCTCATAACCGCATAACAAATTCCCTTACCAGTTCTCCTAATGCCAGGACTAGAAAGAACTTTCAAGAGAATGTTTAGTGCCATCGTTAAGAGCTACGACTCTGTCGTCAGACCTCTGGAATCCTGGCACCATCACCCAATAGCCACACAACCCAGAGCACGTTACTTAGCCAAGACTCAGTCTCCTCCACTGTAAAAGAGAATACGAGTATCTGCCTCAGAGGAATGGTTGCAAGGAGTCAATGAAGTGATTAATGTTCCAGTGCTTTGTATATTAAAAGATAGCTTGTTTAAAATTTTCTTTTTTGTTTTGAGACAGTCTCTCTCTCTCACCAGGCTGGAGGGCAATGGCATGATCTTGACTCACTCTAACCTCCACCTCCAGGGTTTAAGCAATTCTCATACCTCAGCCTCCTGAGTAGCTGGGATTACAGGCGCATGCCACCACGTCTGGCTAATTTTTGTATTTTTAGTAGAAATGAGGTTTCACCATGTTGACCAGGCTGCTCTCAAACTCCTGGCTTAAGCCCCCAACTCGGCCTCCCAAAGTGCTGGAATTGTAGGTGTGAGCCACAAGGCCCAGTTAAAAGATAGCTTTTTATTATTATCATGCAAACCAACATCTCTCCATTGTACAGATGAGGAAACTGAGGCTCGGAGAGAGAGAAGATTTTCCCAAGATCACCAAAAGAACCAAGACTGGGGCTCCACTTCCAAGTCAGTGCTTCTAATTTCTCTCATACCTGTGGTCTCTGATAAGCAAATATACACACTCAGAGGCTGTAGACATAAGCTCTAAAAGTTTTCTTAAAGAAAACCAGAGATTAATGCCTCAGCAAAGTGCCACAGACCAAGCGGAGATCATCTCTATCACCCACATCACAAAAGACCCAAACTATTCACATGGTGTAGGGGAAAGTGATCCACTGTCACTGGATGGCTAAGAGTGAAGGCAATCAATCAACGCGTTTGGCAGAAGTGCACACACCACTGTTAACAGTGGCGACCTCTGGGGAAAGAGGAGGGCTTGGAGGGATTTATGTTTGAATCTTTTTTTTTTTTTTTTGAGGCAGAGTCTTGCTCTGTCACCCAGGCTGGAGTGCAGTGGCAAGATCTCGGCTCACTGCAAACTCTGCCTCCCGGGTTCAAGCGAATCTCCTCTCTCAGCCTCCCAAAGGGCTGGGATTATAGGCATGCGCCACTGTACCCGGCTCAATTTATGTTTGAATCTTTAACTTTTTTGTTTGTTTGTTTTAAAACTCATAAAAAAGAAAAAAAAAATTACATTGCTGAATATCTTAGCAGCCTTCTCCAGGTAGGTATAGCCTGTTGCCTGCTTTTAAATGAAATTTATAGCAGGTTCTGAGACCTTCAGCTGGGCTTCCAGAATCTGCCGCACTGACCCATCCCAGTGGCCACTGCTGTAGTCCAGACCTTCATTCTACTTCACTTGGCTCATGCAACAGCCTCCTCAGGGTCTTCCCGCCTCCAGATTAGCCCCGTCCAATGCATCCCCTACATCAGCCACTCAGAATAATGAGTTTTTTAAAAAATCACTGCCCTGTCAAAACCCTTTCTCATCTCTTCATTGCCTTCAGGATGAAGTCCAAACCCTTAGCTTATAATCTAGTTCCATCTTCATTTAGAGTCTCAACTCCCACCACTCTGCCCTTCTCCCATCCTCCATTCTAGCCACATGGATGGCTCAGAAAACCTCAGTCCCTTTGCACAAGTGGTTCCTGCTTCTTAGAATCTTTACCCCCAATTCCTGTTTCTTTTGGTAAATGATTACTCATTTCTGAAGTCTGGCTCATCAAGACAAAATTAGTCACTCTTCTTGCAGGCTGAAGTCCCTCTTAAAATATGACACGAATGTGCCAACCACTATAGATGGGAAGCATCTTGAGGACAGTGCGCTCTGTGCTCTTCTGAAGCTCTTGGGCCTCTCACAGGGCACGGCACAGAATGAGTGCTAAATTGAGGGAGGGGGAGAGGAAGGAAATCCCATGCCAGGCAAACCCTGCAGCCACCCCTCTTGGGAGCAGCCTGTTTCCCGGCTCGTGTTAGTCCCTAATAAAAAGACTATGGAAAATTCTGGAGTAAAGTTCCTTTCCCTGATTCACATGGAAACCTTCTTTGCTGATGTGTAACTCAACGAGTGCCAACCCAAGCTCCCCCAGCTGTTTACGATTTCTCTGGCATTTATAAATAGCAAGGCCCCAGAAAGAAAAATGGAGTTTCAAAGGAGCTGAAAGCAGATGGTTTCCACCCCCATCCTTCCTCCTCTGCTTCCAAGCCTCTCCCACTTAAAAGCCCCAAGAAACAGCAACCAGCACTCTCAAGTGTGTATGCATGGATGGGAGTGCTTAGCTCTTTAGTGAATGGAACATCCAAGGAGGCTAAAGTCCCCCGCCAAAAGGAGTCCGCAAAGGGCAGATTGGAATTGGGTCCCAGCCCTACCCTGCCTCACTGTGTGACAATGAGCCCATCATAAACTCTCTGGGTCCTTGACTTTTCTCAATCGTGAAATGGGGATGGGGTAAGACTCTAGCAAGCTGTGGTCACTGTGAAATGCAAAGCAATGAGAGGTCCTGGTGCCCTGCTCAGAAATGTGGTCCTGGGAGAACAGGACACACAGGATTAAGTCCCCAGAGGCCAAACAAAAGCGGGAGGCACCTCCCCAGAGGCCCCGCCTTCCACAAAGTCCAATTACCCTCAGGACAGCCCAGAATGAGTTCTGGGTGTTTTAAAGATCTCTTCCACGCTCTGAGGAGGGCGTGAGGACAGGACAAAGCTGCAGCTGTCTGGGCAGAAGAGGGGCAGAAAGCCAATGTCTCCTCCTCACTCACACCCCCAGTCCCCAGCCATCCAAGGACTGGGGCTTTTCCCTGGGCACTACCCAGACCATCCAGCCTGCACTGGACAAGAAGAAGTTGCTGTTATTTAGGTTTTGGGGGGCTGGGACCTAGAAGACAGGGGGTCTCAGGGAAAAAGGGTTCCAATCACTGTCTTCAACTCTGCAAGAAGCTTCCATGTGAGTCAGGGAAGGGAACACCGGGCAGGGCCGGGGAGGAGCCAGCACCTACAGGTAGCGGGCGTCCACAGATTGCAGACAGTACAAGGAAGAACTTTCTAACAACCCCTGCCCCAGAAAGAGGAAGGAGCCGGAGAGGAGAGCAAGGCACAGGTATCGCCCAGGAGGCAAGGATCCTCTGAGCGGACTCCCCAGCGGAGTCACCGCCCAGACCGTGGCTGGTGGCCCCCTGCATGCCCGGGCCAGACACCCCAGGTGCAGGGTGACCCCCGGGCCAGTTCCCCCATCCCGGGGGCGGGGTCGAGGTTAGGAGCTCAGCTGCCAGCAGCACAGCGGAATCACGGGGTGGAGGCCTGCCCCTTTCCTCTCCTGCTGGGGCGTCTCCCCACACCCCGCTCCCATCCACACCCTTTGTCCCCTGGAAGACCCGCAAAGTGAGCGAGGAAGCCCCTTTCCAGCGATGCCCCCGCGGCCAGGCCGAGCTCCAGACGCGGGCGAGCTCGGACTGGGAGGGAAGGGAGAGGAAGGACTCAAATCAGCCCGGGACCCCCAGATGCCCGGGGCCGGGGCCGCCCGCCTCCCCTACCTGCTGCTGCGGCGCTGGCGACGGCGGCTGCTGGGTCCAGCTGTGCTCAGCTGGTTCCGGGCGGCGGGGCGGGGGCGCGGCGGTGAGCGGGGCCCGGGTGGGCAGGGCGCGGGCGGGAGCCGCCCTCGGGGCGGGGCGGCCGGGCCGGCGGGTGGGGGAGGAGCGCAAGGCCCTCCCGTCGGCTGCGGGGCGGGTGGCTCCAGGCTCGCAATCATCCAGGGCGACCCCTCGCTTCACCCCGGCAGGAAGGCGCCAAGCTCCCCGCTTTCCCCTGGAGGAAACTGAGGCCCGGAGCACGGACAGGATATCTGAAGAGGCCTAGGGTGGTGGAGGAGACCCAGGGCAGCTCCTGAGCTGGGCTGGGGCCAGAGAGCTCAGATGGGGCGGGCAACGAGCAATGCTCAGCTAGCACCAGCGGAGGCAGATTTCAGCCCCGGAGAGGACGGACCTCTGAAGGCAAAGCCCGCGGAGGGTGACATAGGCTGCCCGCCAAGCCGGGGAGCTTCCTTCCCACGGAAGGGAATAAAGAGGAAGAGCAATTCCCGTCTCATTCCAAATGAAGTAATGAGAAACGCCAAGTACATCTCTGGTCCTTAAAGTGGACCATTAAGCAGGCGCCCTGGAGTCAGAAGGTCTGGTTTGGAACCCCTGACGTTGACTAGTCCTGTAACTTTCGGCAAGCGAGCTCACATATCTAAGTCTCCGTATCCTTGTCTGTCAAATGGGCATCCTGACCTGCCTCTTCATGGGGCGGTTGGGAAGACTCAGTGAGAAAAAGACTCTCGGCACGATGACAGGGACTGTGGCTTCTGCATAAACGGATGTTCTTAGTGTCACGGCAGATACTGTTTTAGGAAACTGAGAAAATCCATACTAGGCAGAAAGATGAGTGCAAGGTCACTTTTCAACAAACGTAATACTTTGTTGATCTCAACGGCATCTCATACGCATTTGAGAGAGAGCCATTTATTATCCAGCAAGGCATAGGACAGCCTCCCAACAGTCCTGGTGCACACGTGGGTTCCCAGGGTCTTGCAGTTGCTGCCTGACTCCAGTTTGGAAGGATTCACACACTCGACAGGAGACTGCACCACCTGACAGAGATACCATCCCCAGCCTAGGTGCGGGCAGCAGCCCCATGTTCAGCCAGGGTAAAGCTCTGGCTAACTCAAGGTAAAATGTAGTAGAGTCGGTAATTGCGGGTGCTGGTGATCAGAGCCGAAAAGGCGTTGTTTAAGTAGCACAGAAGCCAAGAGCACAGCCCTCACTCCCTGGTTTTTCCATTGAATGGCAGCCAGGGAAGCCACAGGACCTGGGGAATCTCACCCTGGCTCTTCCTCCTGTCATTCTCTCTTTGTTCAACACCAGTAAATACAAGAACCATTTCTCGAATGCCTCATGCCATGCTCTGGGCTTCCCACATATTACCGACTTTCAATCTCACCTCCCTACCTGGCCTCCTAAGGGAGGCACTGCTGTGTGTATTTTTCAGGTGAGCAGGCCAAGCCCACGGAAAGGGTTAAGTACTCTCCGGAGGTCATACCAATGATACTGAGCAGTCTGCTCTTCTATGCCTGAGTCCTTGCCCCACCCCCACCCCCCACTGCTTTGCTCAACGTCCTATGTCACATTCTGCCACCCATCCTGGCTTGGGAAATTCTGTCCAGTTCCACTTTCTCTGAGAATGGAAGCAAGGTATCCACCCCCCAGGGAGGTTCACACCCTCTCTGCCACTCTCTGCTTTCTCCAGAGGCTGCCTGTGATTCAATGTAATGCTGCTGGGGAGAAAAACAAAGACGCAGGCTTATTTGGCTCTAGACTCTTTGATTACAAGCCCTGGCATACACATGCCCTGGAATTATCTAACATATCATTTCCAGCCTGAGCAACTGCTCTCAGACAAAGGGAGGTGGAACTCTGAATCTGTCTCCCCATAGAACTGGAGAATACCACATCAGGATGGAGGAAACTTTGGAAAATATCTGGTTCAACTCCTCCCTTTAGTGATGGGGAAACTGAGGCCAAGAGAGCAGAAAGCTTTGCGCCCATAACCCTGTGATTGTTCCATTTGGTGGCTGGAAAGGAACGTGGTAACAGGGCATCACCAGGAATAATTAAAAATTATAATGGGCCGGGTGCAGTGGCTCATGCCTGTAATTCCAGCACTTTAGGAGGCTGTGGCAGGCGGATCACGAGGTCAAGAGATCGAGACCATCCTGGCCAACATGGTGAAACCCTGTATCTACTAAAAAATACAAAAAATTAGCTGGGCATGGTGGTGCGCACCTGTAGTCCCAGCTACTTGGGAGGCTGAGGTAGGAGAATTGGTTGAACCCAGGAAGTGGAGGTTGCAGTGAGCCAAGATTGAGCCACTGCACTCCAGCCCGGTGCCTGGCAACAGAGCAAGACTCTGCCTCAAGAAAAAAAAGATAATGAAGATGATGATTGATTGATGATGATAGTGATGATGATAACCAATATTTACATGGGAGTGCCCCTCCAGGGACACTTCTAGCAATTTCCTGGTGCTTTGCTTTATGGCTCAACATGTGTATTTTATAGCTGGCAGGATATATCAAGTCTGCCTTTCATGGATACCTAGAATTCCTCTTGGTATCCTGTCTTCACACCTTTCTAGATTCCTCTTTGTCCTTCTCCCCACATTGGATCTAGGCACCGATGAGGCCTTTCTGGCCCGGATCCTCACCTCAGAATGAATGTCTTCTTGATAAGGATTTCCTCTAATGGAAGAACTTTGATATCTTCTTTTGCCAGAAGACCACCTCCTTCCCAGAGTGAGGTTGGGGAGAAATGAAGGCCACACACAGGCCAGGCATTAGACAATTTGGGGGTGTCTGCTTCCTCCTCTGAGAACGCCTCTTCCCACCCAATGGGATGGCCCTCACTTGCACCCAGGTTTATACTGTAACCTTCCCCCACAACACAGCTGACAGCATTAGGAGTTGATGGCAGAACAAAGCTGGACTATTAGAATTTGGAGCTGGAACCTGAGATGTGACAATCATAGTGAATTAACTGGGCCTGTGAGGACTGATGATCTCTGAAGGCCAAGGCCACCATTTTGAGGTGGCCATCTTCCATTGTATTCACAGAGAAAGCCAGTGAAACTCATTAAAAGACTAGAAAGGTGTGGAGAAACTCACAGAGGAGATGGCTGGGCTGGCCAGCCAGGGAAGACTTCAGAGTTCATGAGGCTCATCTGGTTACAGACCTCTCCTGGAGCTGTCTTCAGAAAGAGAAGTTAGCAGCACAAGCATTTGCTGAGCATGGGATGCCTTGTAGTAGGTCCCTAGAAGCAGAGGATGAGACGGGGATTTCGTGCAAGAGATTCCTTGAGGGAGCGCTCTCAGGAGATCCTGAAATAGTCCATGGAACACTAGGGCAGGGGTGCAGCTGGGCCTCAGGATCAGACCACAGGCAGGACCTGAGTACTAAAGGGAACCCAGAAGGTACTTTCTCCCCCATCTTTCATCTCTGCCTGTCTGTCCCATTCCTTTGCCTCACATAACTGAAGCATTTCTGCTTTACGGAAAATGGCTTTTACCAGCAGCAAGCTGGAATCTTTATTTGTGATCCACATTTCTAAGTTGGATCAGATGCATACCCTTTAATTAACTCTGGCCAGAGTAGCAGGATCACACTGTAACCTATGGGTGGAGGGGGTGTACTTCCCAGAGAAAAGGGGAGGGGAAGCCTAGCAGAGACAACAGCTTGGACTCAGTTATCCTTGAAAGGATAGAAAGAATAAGAGTGGAGGTGAGGAAGGGAACAGCATCTTCTGCTAAGGGCACAGAATAAGCAAAGGTGTGGAGGTCAGAGAAATAACTGGAAGAAGGAAAGGAATCTGTTGTTTTCTCCAGCCTTGGTCCCCTTTAGTGTTGTGCTAGAGGCAGCTCTTAAGAACTGATTGCTCAATTTCTGTGATTTTTTTCTGAGACAAGATTTCACTGTCACCCAGGCTGGGGTCAGTGGCACAAACATGACTTCTTGCAGCCTTGACCTCTGGGCTCAAGCAATCCTCCTACCTCAGCCTCCCAAGTAGCTGGGACCACAGGCACATCCACCGCGCCTGGCTAATTTTTATATTATTTGTAGCGATGATCCTCCCGCCACAGCTGGAATTACAGGAGTAAGCCACCACACCTAGTCAAATTTCCGTGAATTCTACAGCCAACTGTATTCAGCCTGGATTAAGCACAGCCTTCAATAACAATCTACATAAATTTATAGTTAAGTAAATTATAAATTGAAATGGTCTGGCTCTGTGTCCCACCCAAATCTCATCTCGAATTGTAATCCCCATAATCCCAGGTGTCAAGGAAGAAACCTGGTAGAAGGGAGGTGATTGCATCATGGGGGCAGTTTCCCATGCTGTTCTTATGATGAGTTCTCACGAGACCTGATTCTTCTTTTTTTTTTTTTTTTTTTTTTTTTTATAAGGACCTTAACCATGTGCTCCAGGTGTAAGAAAAAATATTTTTTCTCCCCATCCTTTATCACCCAGCT